CCTACACCACATAGTGGCAAGAGTATTATGTCTTTGTGCATTTGTTTGTAACATGGAGAAGGAAGCGAGATAGAACCATAGTTAATTTTGAGGATCTTCACAGAATCACTTCCTGAGTTGATTTTTGCATGTCAGACCGTCTGTCCGTCCATCCGTCTGTCCATGTATTTTTGTGAACAAAATGCAGGTCGCATTTTTTATCCGTTGAGATAAAATTTGTGCAAACAATATATTTGTTCGACCCAAGGACGAACCTTATTGAAATTGGTGATAATCGGTTCAAATTTAAATATAGCTCCCATATATATTTTCAACCGATTTCGACCAATCACCAAATTGCCAATATCAGTTCAAATCCCCTGCATTTTGGAACATTCAACTGAATTCTGTCCAGAAGCAAGTACATCAAATTGGAGAAAATCGGTTCAGATAACCGATTTGGGGTTTTAAGTCCTCACATGCGTAATATGCCCTCCACAAGAATAATGTTTCGTACCGGGAATCAGATACTGCTTGAAAATACGTATGCCAATTTGTATAGGTTCAGATTAGGACATAGCTCTCATATATATATTTACCCGATATCAAGTTTATTGTGCCCCAAATGGCTAATATCAGCCAAAACTATCTGAATTTTGGCAAATCCGACTGAATTTGGTGTAAATCAAATGTGGATAAATCGGTTCAGATACAGCTATAGCTCCCATATATATGTTGCATGCGATTTAGTGTTAAAATCTCTGACATGCGTAATTTGCAATCCACAACAGAGATATTTGATATCGGACATCAGAAACCTGTGTCAAATTTTATCGAGATAGGTTCAGATTTTAATACAGCTTCGATATACATCTTAATCCGATTTAACGGTTATTGCTCACCAAATCATAATAAAATTCTATGTCGATTTAGCGATTTTCTGTGGAAATCACTCTAGCTTCCGAACGAATTGAAGAAAATTGATAAAATTTTACTAAAATGTATATTATGTATGCAGGACTTTTGGTATTGAAAATGGACTATATAGTTCCACGTTCTGGTATAGCCCGGAATTATTACAAATTCAGTGTTTGAAGTTCGAAATGGATACTATGACAGGAGATTGTCTGTGCAGGTCCACGTCTTCTTATATCCCCCATAAAACGGTATCTCCCGAAATTCGGTAATTTGATGATTTTAGCGATATTATTCACTGGATTTTTTTGTTATTAGAAGCCCGTAATAGATACTACAGCCTAATACAGAAAATTGTCTGTGCAGGTCCACGTTTTGGTATATCCCCCCATATAATAGTACTCTCTTTATTTGGTATTTTGATGATTTTTGCTATATTATTGATCAAATTATTTTTTTTCAAGTTTCGCATTTGACTATGACAAAAGTTGCCTATGCAGATCCACGTCGTCGTATAGACCCTAATATAAGGCTACATTCGGTATTTTTAAGATTTTAAGAGAATTTTTAACGGATTTTATTTTTTTAAATTGTCAAAATCGGTCCAAATGGTGGAGGGTATTAAAAGATCGGCCGGCCGAACTTACAGCTTTTTTAATTGTTTTATATTTTCGATGCAAGAGTTTTTACATTTTCAGATACATAAGAAGTTTGTACATCTCACAATCGTTCTCGAAAGCTGGAATTAAACGCTGAACATACTCGAAATAATCCACCCGTCAGTGATTCGTTTCCGACAATTTCAGATTCGTTCGTTTTCGCGATTCGTACGCTTCCGTGACTCATTCCGTGTCGGTACCGACTTTAATATTTGTCATTTCCAAATACGCCCAATTAATTTTTTGTTTGTTTCGATTAATTCATTTCAATACTCTATTAGTTAATTTCTCATTCAACTGTCCAAACCACTACATTACATTTACTGCAACGTAGTATTTTTCTCATTTTGGTGGATGCAAAATTTATTAATTGTATATTCTAATTTTTTTATAGAACCCAAATTTAAAGGCGTAATTCAATAATATGACCTCTCAAAGTTTTTTTTTTTTTTGACTCAGTCTGTTCTGTGCCTTTATTCCCGACTGGCACACATCATATGCCAATAAATCGTGCAACTTCACAAGATGATCCGATATTTAATATTTTATTAACTCTAAAATGAAGTAATGAAAAAAAACCACAGCAAAGAACTAAATCACTTAACACTCCTTATTCAGTTTCTCATTTTCAAGTCAGTTGAGTTTGAATTTGAAGGTAAAAAAATCAAGGTGTAGAAAAGTGGGTGTATTCAACTTAAATTTTTAAATTATTTTCAAAGGTCAAAGCGGCAGCAAGAAGCAATTGCGAAGACTGTGATGACGGCATCAAAATCGCCACGAAAAAAAGGTTGGTTTTTTTAGGGCGATGCTCAATTTAAAGGTACGCTTTGTGTTTCACATTTTTTCTTCTGCTTTGGTTGAACTTTAATTCTACCAGAAGATGTTGGAGCCAAGATGAGAGAAGAAAAAAACACCAGTAATTGAATCATAATCTCTTTTTTCCATAACCATAATATTTATGTAGTCTAGTAGTACGAAGTGGTAAACGAGACCACGAATGCCCCAGACATAAACTGTAAACTGTTAGTTGTAGAATGCCGCTGTCTGCCTGGAATTCTTGTTGGCGGCGAAAAACACTTGTTTTTTTCTTGTTTGTCTGTTGTTTCCCCAAAGGATAGCGAAATAGGTAGTGAATAGAAAATGTGGTCATTTTGAGATTCATTACCCTATAGAGTATTAAGGTCAGTTAACGGTGTTAGACCATTTGAGATTTCTCCATTTCAGAATTACTAAATTTGGACCATAGAAATATTAAAATTGAGCAACGGGCAACATTATAAATTGACCATTATAAGCATCGTCAATGGCGATAAGGAATAGAAATAGTAGATGATCACTTTTTGAAAAAATTCATCTTTAGTGATAAGACAATTTTTCAACCTAGCGGTTTCGTAAAAAACAGTAAAGAAAGTCTTAAAGTCGGGCGGGCCGACTTTATGATACCCTACACCACTTTGCTAATTTAGTAGAGCTCCACATAACAATTAAATGTTTTTATGGGAGAATTCAATCATACACGCTATGATTAACATTATAATTTAAAGTTCAAAGGACTAAATATGCGGAAGCATTTGTATCTTTTTAAATTCGGAATTGTATTGCCTATTTGGTGCAAAATTAATTTGAAATCGGATAAAGATATATATGGGAGCTACATTCCAAATCGGAACCGATTTCAATAAAATTTGGCAAAGATATTTCTGCGCTGTATTAGATATATTTCCCTGAATATCGTTGTTACGGAGTGCATATTACAGCTGTGGGTAACAAATATAACAAATCGAATGAACAATATATATGGAAGCTATAGCTATATCTGAACCGATCTTCACCAAATTTGACATACTACCTTCTAGACTCAATTCGGTCCATCCCATTTAGACAAATATTAGACGTTTGGTGCACAATAAAAGGTAAATCGGACGAAGTTATAAATGGGAGCTATATCCAAATCTGAACCGATCTCGATAAAATTTAGCAAATGTATTTCTGAGCTGTATTTGATATATTTCCCCAAATATTGTTGTTAACAAAAATTAAAATCGGATGAACAATATATATGGGAGCTATAGCTATATCTGAACCGATTTCGATCAAATGTGGCATACATATTTTCAGGCCGATATATATATATATATATATATATATATATATATATATATATATATATATAAATATATATATAGAGATATATATAGATATAAATATTTTTTTTTTGTTTTTTTAATTTATTGAATGAAAGTAAAAAATGTCGGAAATACCATCAAAATTTAGAATACGTTTAAATTTCTTCGAATTGGTCACCTTTGGCACGAATTATGGCTTCAAACGGCCAATGAAACCGTCACACGTTGCTGTGCGATATTTTGGCCCATTCCCGGCGAAGCGCTTGCTTGAGGTTATCGACATTTCGGTATTTTTTAGTGCCAACCTTGCTTTCCAAAATATTCCAGACACAATAGTCCAACGGATTGGTATCAGGAGATTTTGGTGGCCATTGTGCGCTGGAAATGAAGCGAGGAAACTCATTTTGTAACCATTCTTGGGTGGCGCGTGCTGAGTGCCATGGTGCTGAGTCCTGTTGGAATGTCCAAGTTCTGCGGCCAAAATGTTTGCATGGCCAAGGCTTTAATACACCCTGCAGAATATTTTCGCTATAATATTAGACATTATTCTGATGCCACAATCGATTAATACGAGCGGAGAGCGACCGTCGGCTGTTATGGCGGCCACCATCACCATGGCCAGCGCTTAAGTTCTGGTGGCCAACCGAAGGTGCACACTTTCAGCTGACCTCTTTATTTGTTTGTTTGTTTACAAACTGCTGGACAACGAATGTTTTCTCACCACTTTTCGGCCAAGCAAAGCAACTCTTTAGCTCTTTTGAGTCTATTTTCTTTTTCAATGGCTTTACCCCGAGCTCATTTTTCAATATTTGCCGAATGGAATATTGCGATATGTTCAGCTCACGAGCCATTTCGCGGGCTTCGATCAAGTCGCTTCTTTATTTTTCGAACCGTTTTTTGTTGGTGTTTTCTTCTGTACACTTCCTTGACGCCGGGCTACGCTGCCAGTATCACTATAACGAGCTGTGGTACAAGACACAAAAGATTTATTCACATTTAAATGCTGGAGTGCTCAACCAATAGCCACTTATGGTTTTCCCGCCAAATATAATGAAATCACACTATCACGCTTGAATTCCATCACCAATAACTTTTTTTCTGGAAAATTCTCACCAAAATGCTTTTGTACGCTTGTAAACAAAATAATGAGCTGTCACTGCAATAATTTTAACTGCTGTCGGATAACTGGCTTAGAAATGACAGCAGTCTGAAGTTGGTTGCAATTTTTTCGTCTCGCCCTGTATACCTTCTTCTTCGATACGACTATGTTTATAATATTTATATCTGTGATTATTTTACCAAGCCTCGTAATGTGACTTACCTCACGGTGGTGTACTCCTTCAATACTCCTTTAGTTTATGAATTAAAATTTCCCCCTTCATCCGAATGCAGTTTATTATACTTCCGTTGGTCTCTGTGTTGACTGGCTCCGGTTGCTTCCATCTTGTTTGCAGCTTAAAGGATGTTTTGTAGGATTTTTCATTGAATCCTATTCAAATATCGCTGATTTGTTGCTTTTGTTCGTTCACGTTGTTTTTGGAGGTTTCTTGTGGTTCAGCATTTCCGCTGACATTGTCCTTTTTTGTTTCTTTTTAAGTAAACGCTGATGAATCAATTCATATTGTTTAATTTAGTTGTTGAAAAATTTTGCGAATTTAAAAAAATAAATTTTTACGTTTTAAAACTAATTGTCAAATACTGAAAAAAAGATTTTTTACTACGCAGGCCTACCTAAATTTGACTGTCTGGCTTAAATACTGTCTTCGGCAGTATTACTGATAACCGTAGGAGAATTATTTTGGTTCCAAATTTTAAGCTTCAATCGAGACACGCAAGTGTATTTTTGGAACCCGTTTTATACCCTACACCACATAGTAGTTAGGGTATTATGTCTTTGTGCATTTATTTGTAACATGGAGAAGGAAGCGAGATAGACCTACAGTTACTTTTGAGGATCTTCATAGAATTTCGTTCTGAGTCGATTTATGCATGTCAATCCGTCCGTCTGTCTATGTATTTTTGTGAACAAACTGCAGATCACATTTTTTATCCGATTGAGATGCAATTTTCCAAATAATATTTGTTTGGCCCAAGGACGAACCTTATTGAAATTTGTGATAATCGGATTAGATTTAGATATAGCTACCATATATTTTCAACCTATTTCGGGCTAATGGTGCACTTATGTCCAATATCAGTACCAAAGTAATGAATTTCGGCACATCCGAACGAATTTAGTTTAGAAGCAAGTACATCAAATTTGGTAAAAATCGGTCCAGATATAGCTATAGCTCTCATTATTAGGTTTCGGACGATTTTCTGTTTAATTTCTTCACATTCGTAATATGCGTTCGACAACTATTATATTTGGTACCAGAGCTCGGAAATACCTTTGAAAATTTAATGGAGATGGGCTAAGATTTGGGTGTAGGTCCCATATATATCCTTAATCCGACTTAAGGTTTATTGTGCAAATAATAGCTAATATCAGCCCAATAGAATGAATTTCGGGACGTACGTCAAGGAAGTGGACGGAAGAAAACAGCACCATAAGCAGAAATGGTTCGAAAAGTAAAGAAGCGACTTGATCAAAACCTGTGTTGCAGTGGCCGAAAAATGCCTCGTGAGCTGAACATATCGCAATATTTCATTCGGCAAATATTGAAAAATGAGCCATTGAAATTCCAAAAAGTGCCGCAACTTACATTGCAACAGAAAGAGAATAAACTCAAAAGAGCTAAAAAGTTGCTTCGCTTGGCCGAAAGTTGTGAATTGCCGAATTTGGTTTTCTCCGATGAGACAACATTCGTTGTCCAGCAGTTTGTAGAGAAACAAAATGGTCGTGTTTACTTGCCAACGAGGTAAGCTGAAAATGTGCACCTTCGGTTTACCACCAGAACAAAAGCGCCGTCCATGGTGATGGAAAATATTCTGGAGGGTGTATTAAAGCCTTTTCCGGGCACGCAAGCATTTTGGCCGCAGACCTTGGACATTCCAACAGGCACCATCGCACTCAGCCACCACCCAAGAATGGTTACAAAATGAGATTCCTCGCTTCATTTTCATCGCAATATTTGTTTATTAGTCGGCTTAAAATTTATCTTAATTTGTTCAAAATTTAGGTACCAGAATATTTTTATACCCTACAACACTATGTGTTGGGGGTATTATAAGTTTGATTGGGCCAAAAATTATGCAACACCTCGAAATATTGGTTTCCCACATAGGAAAGTATATATGGGTCTTCCTAGCTCGCCGAGCTGAGTCGATCTAGCTTTGTATGTCCGTCCGTCCGTCTGTCCGTCTGTCCATGTTAATTTGTAATCAAGCTACAGGTCGGAATTATGAACCTATCCTCATGAAATTGAAAATGGAGGTGGGGTTAGGGTCAGAATAGAACCCTATTGTTTTTGGAGATGATCGCACGATATTTAGGGGTTGAAATGGACCAAAAACAGAAAATTTTCCTGATTTTGCAGTTGCTCTATAGGCCACAATTATGAACAAATCTAGTTAGAGTTTGGGACTGGGCAGAAACGTACCAATTTGGGCGGCCATCGGACAATAATTAGCGGGAAAAATAGACCCTAACTTTTATGTTAGAAAATAGAAAAATTTCCACTAAACCGCGAATATTTTTTATCACAGCCAAATCACAAATACATTAAAATATCACTTCTGACCATTACAGTGATGCTAATAGCCAAGAAATCGGATATATAGCAAAATAGGTACAATACATATGTAAAAGAATTGATCTTATTTATTCTGTTTATAAATCAAGAACCGCTGGGCCGATTTTTTTTTTCAATTCAGAATGGTCTCTTGCCAGAAAAGGATAAAATCTAAGAAAATCGCGGGATAATATATCAAAAAGTTATATCTTTTGTTTCATTTTTTTTTCCATTTTTGTCATATTTTTTATCGCATGCGATTTTTTCAATTTGACTTACAATTTTGAATTTTAAATTTTCTAAATTTTTACACCCCCCAACACTAAGTTTTGAGAGTATTATATGTATGTCGCAATTATCGTCCGATCCTCACGAAATTTTGCATGAGGTAGGGCCGGAATTAAAGCCTATTGTTCTTAGGATGTGCATTTATTTAAATTTTTTTAATTTTGTAGTCGTTCTATAGGCCGACATTGAAAACTAATCGACACGGAATTTCGCATAAGAAGAGAGTTGAGGACAGAGAAGAAGTCTAGCATTTTGGATGATCATTGGTTTATATTTAGCTGTAAAATGGACCACAACTTTCGTTTGCAATTTGTTTTGAATACTTCATAACACTACGGAGTGCGTAAATATTGGCCAAATTTTCCGGGTCAAAAACCTAAGGGTAACCTTTGGGCAGGGTTTGGATATAAAGGGACTTCGAACATATTGTAGGGTTGTAGGGTATCACATGGTCGGCCCCACACGACTATAGCCTTTGCTTACTTGTTCTATTTTATTATTTAAAAATCACGATTATCATATTGGCCACCAAAATCTTCGGATACCAATCCGTTGGACTATTGTGTCTGGAGTATTTTGGAACGCAAGGTTGGCACCAAAAATGACCAAAATGTCGATCACCTTAAGCAGCGCTCTGAACTGATTTAAATATAATTTGTCGAATTTATTTTTGCAACGAATTTCTTCACTCATTCGGACATATATATCGTGTTTGGTACATCAAATATATGAAATCGGCCGAAAAATATGTATGAGAGCTATATCCAAATCTGAACCGGTTTCAATATAATTTGGCGAATTAATTCTTGTACCAAATTTCCTCACTTTTTCCGAATTTCATTGAAATCGGTCACAAATATCGTGTTTGGTGCGTCAAATATGCGATCAAATATTAAAAAGGGGTTTAAGGGGTTTTAATTTTTGTGCATCTTAAATTTTTTCTAAACTTTGACCGGATAGTAAGGCGAAATATATGGATTCACTGCCAATCTAGTCGTATCTATGTATTAGCATATGTAATTAACTGAGCATAGGCTGAGCATATATATTCCTTGTAGATAGCGACTGATACTTTCTAACCTTTTACACAAAACTAAACTTAAAGTTTCATGTCAGTTGCCCATATGATATGCATGAGGGATTTCTAAAAATTTTAATTGATTATCTTCGCCATATTAAGTTTATCTTGGTTTATTTTCATCACTTCTTTACTTTCTTCCCTGTAAGACTTCAAACAAAAATACAGTTAACAGATGTTTGCTTGAATTCAATTTAAAGAAAAAAGAAGACAAGGCCATTATAGATGCTGATCAGGAAATATATGACCATAAGCACTGCCCATCCAATTTTTCTCACAAGACGTTTTTCAATTTCCCATTGAAGAAATTTCGAAGATAAAAGAAACAGCAACATAAATAAATTTAACCCATTACTAACCCCACCTTCCCAAAAAAAAAAAAAAAAAAACACACACAGATAATCGTCATACGAATTATGTTTGAGAATAGTTTTCCAAATAGTGCAGTGTTTAGCCATAGCAAATAATAGGTCACAATGTCATTCATACAACCAAACAGACACACATACACACTCCGGCCATGGAGAAAATTGTTTGAAAGTTTTGTCAATTTTCCCAGAGACCAGAGAAGAGACGGTACGATACACTCACACAAGGGTGTGTGTGTCCGAAAAAAATGTGTTCATATTTTCACTGGAAAATTCTTTTCAAAAAACTGTGCCTAATAAACTTTGGCCACTATCTTCAACTATCATCTGCGCCATGAAAGCTGGCATCATCACCTGTGTGTTCGTCCATTACATGTATTCCAGGAATGTACGAGTGCATGTTGCATGTTGGGTAGGAGGCGAAGGTACAGATGATAGCGCGTGGATGCTTAAATACGCTGAATGAAGATAGGCTGAAAGGAGGCATTAGGTGAATTATACTTCTACTTCTACCTCTATCACATCACATTTTTCTTCTTGCCCTTGATATTTTCAGAAATGTTAGTATATTTCATATCCATTGTGAAATAATAATGGAGGTAATTGGCTTTTATCCCCATCTGACGAGACTCCTCTGTATCTCAGCATTGCAATTGCCTTATAAACTTTTTTGGCTGCAGAAACACTTGTGGCTTACGAAACAAAACTCGTATCGTTTTTGTCATCTTCGTAGACAACACAGTATTACACACATTCCAAACGCCGAAATGCAATTCACTGCCTATTTGACCAGAAGGTCTATCAACATTTTCTGGGGCCACTTGGTCATCTGTGACCTCATACAAATAGATATAGAGACATATTTGCGTAAGATATTGCCTTTGGAATACAGTAGTTAAGAAATTCAACAGGAGAAAAATTTATAAAGTCTTCAATATGTGGAAATTTAAATCATGTGAAATCAGTTGTCCGAAAATAACAAAAGTTTTAGGTTTTTTAAATAAGGAAAACACGTAAAAATACTACATTATAATCAATTCAAATGGAAATTTGATTGAAGCTGACATATATGTTACAACACTTCGCTGAAATGAACTCTTTTAGCTAGATTCATCTGGGGATTTTTTAAACAAATTTTTTGCGAATGTAAACTACATTTGAATATTTTTTCAAGCACTCAACTTTCATTGTGTTAATTTCCAATTGTTGGTTTAAAACACAACACACAGCTTATTGACAAAAAAAAGTTTTAGAATTTCCAATGTATCC